TAGTGTTTCTGAGGAAGGGTTCGTGGGTTTGAACTACTAACCTCTCAGTTAGCAGTTCAATATGTATCCTACAACACTACACTTGTAAGGAGTCCTAGTGTGGCGCTGTGGGATAAGCACTCGACTGCATTGTCGGTTTGAACTGCAAGGTCGGCAGTTCAAATCCACCAGCCTCTCCTTGGAAACCCTATACAATATCGCTATCAGTCAGAACTAACTTGGAGACACTTAACAACAACAACACACTTGTAAAGATTTACAGCTTTGGAAATCCTATACAGGGTCACTGAGTCAGTTTCAACTAGATGGCAGTGGGGTTTTGGTTACATACATTCCAAGTTGGCATATAACCTTTACCATCCTAGCACCGTTACTTTCTCTTCCCGCCTTGCTTCTCATTTCTGCCTAATGTGTATTGCTAATGCACAAATAGCCAGAGAGCACTCCGTAAGACATGTCAGACAATAAGATTGTTAATAAGTACGGTACAGGTGTACTTTGAGACTCACCAAGTGTCTCAGTCATATTGGTATACCCATGGTTGTGGTCCACTAGGGTGCTGAGTGGGTGGGTGGGTGAGTGCATGAGGGAAGGTTCTTTCATGGCCATTGTGAACATCTATCTCTTCACAGGGTCCCTGGAAATGAACCTCAACAGCTTCCCTCGAGCAGCCAAGTCGGCCAAGGCCTGCGAGCTCAACAAGTTTGAAAACACAAGTGAAGAAAACAAGATTTCCATATTCCAGCAAAAGCGTGTGCGGGGCTGGTGGCCTTTTGTTAAAAGCAAAGAGCTGACAGTAAGTGACAAGCTGCAGGGGGTTGGGTGGGGGCTGGAGGGGGCCACCATGCTCATTAGGTCAGCCAGCTTTGAGTGTGTCACCAAGAGCTTTTAAGAGGCACAGAGCACTTTAAGGCAAAGGTGCTGCTGAGAAGCAAGCATTTAAAAAATGTTATAGATGCATAAACCTTCCATTTTCCCTTGCATACTTTGCTGGGGTGGATACTTCTTCACTTGGCTTAAATTTAGGCCCTTGGCACTAATTTTTTCAACATCTCTTAAATTTGTCATCAAGTGCTGACTGATGTGTAATTTCTGTGTAACAACTTCATCCTTTGCTCTCAACATCAGACTCCATTTAAAAATCGATCCTTCATGTCAAAGCTTCCTTGAGATGGTGATGGCAGGCAGAGCGTTTATCTACATCTCCCATTGCCAACTTGGTCCAGACAGTGCAGGCTGTGTTGTAGCCATTTCTGCCTTTATACAAAAATTGGGAAGAAAGTTTCTCCCTGTTTTCCAATTGACTCGATGGTCGTGGGTGTGCATCACTCTTCTATAAGGGAGAAAGAATGATTTGAATTTTGGTGAAGTTGACAAAGGGAACAGAAACTGCATTCTATGCTCTTTTCTTTGCTGCGGACCTACCTGCCCATAGGCAAACACGTTCTACTCTGTCCCTAGTGCCTTGTGGCAGACACACCTGGCTCTGCCTCTGAGGTACCAGGTCTGGACCCAGACACTGGCTTTAGGGGTCCCAGGAGTGCTTTGCAAGAGATTCACTTTATATCCCTGGCATTTTTCTCTTTCCCTCCATTCTCAATGAAATCCTCTTCGATTGGTGAGACTGGGTAGAGAGACTGAGGCTTCAGGCCACTCCTTCTTCCTGGTCCTCCAGAGTACTTCGCTACAGGCCAAATTTTGGGCCCTACCACTTCTCCTCTGTCCGTTTGTTGGACTGTGGTGGTTTGTGTGTTGCTGGGATGTTAGAGGCTATACCATAGCAACTCTGTATAGGGTTTCCAAGGATCAGCTGGTGAGCTTCAACTGCTGACCTTGCAGTTCAATCTCACTTTGTGCAGTCCGGCACATTAACCCACAGTGCCACACAAGGACTCCAATATTGGCACATTGGTTAGTTGGTTATGTGCCATGGAGTCTGTTCCAACTCAAAGCAACCCTGTGCAGATTTTCTCAGGCTGTAAATCTTTATCGGAGCCTCATCTTTTTCCATGGAATAGCTGGTTGTTTCGAACTGCTGATCTTGAGATTAGCAGCCCAACTCATAACTAAATAGATTCAGGAACAAGTAAGACATTTTGTGACTCTATCACAAAAATGCTTATATGGTTTCCCTGTTTATTCAGTGACTGAATTACAAGAATGTTAAGTAAATACTCCTTGAATGGGCAAATACTCCTTGAATGGGCACATTAGCACACATTGATTTATGAAGACTGTTACCCTGCCCATGGATGGTGCAATTAACACACACTGTTGCTACAAAAAAGGTTGGAAGTTTGAGTCCACCCAGAGGGGATTTGGAAGAAAGGCCTGGTAAGTAAGCTACTGCTTAAAAACTCAGCCGTCAAAAACCCAGCGCAGCACAGTTCTACAATGCAGCACAGATCTACAATGACATGCATTAAGTTGGAATAAGCCCTACAGCAAAACTGTTTGTTTTGTTTCATTTTAAGTATCACCTTGGAAACCAGAAAGTAAGGTCCTGAAAAAGTAAAGTGTCATCAAATTAGTTCCAACACACAGAGACCCTGTATAGGGTTTCTGAGGAGAAGCTGATGAGCTTGAACTGCCAACCTTGTGGTTCAAACTGACTTTGCAGTCCAGCGCATTAACCCACAGAGCCAAAGCAAGACTCTCCAGACGGAGCAATGGAATTAGTGATGGTCTGTGCTGAAAAAGAGCACCTTGGAGGCCTTAAATCCAATCTACCCATTTCACAGAGGTGGAGACTGAGACTCAGAGACAGGAGATGTTTAGAGAGTAGGAGAGCACAGTAGCAGTTTCCCTGTACTCACTAGATTACTGTGGACACTATGGGGTCATCTACTGGACACAGACTCTACCTCATAAGCCTCCCAGCAGCAGCTCCAGGAAATGCATGATTTTACTTTCTTTCTTTCACAGGTAAGAAACCCAAGGGTCAGGGAGGTAAAGTATGTTGTCCAAGGTCACACAGCTGATCAATCCTGGAGCCTGATTTGAACCCCTAGCTGCCGGAACCCACAGTTAAATCCCTGCTCTGGCCCATGCTGGACTACCAGCTAATCATTATGACCCATCACATTCTCATCGGACGCAGAAAGCTTTGAACCCAAACAGGCATTTTCTGATGCACAGAAGGCCCTGGTAGGATCCTGAATTATTCAAAATGAGCATGCGCTCATGAAGCAGCTCCTCTCTTAGGACAGGAATGCAGGAAGCCATCCGGCCCCAGCATCTCTGCTAGGCCAGAGGGGACTCTGATGGACTTGTCAAAGCCCAACGTCAGAGAAACTGCATTGAGTCAGTTAAACTGGACAGTAGATTCTCCACATCAGTGTCTTCCTTAGATCCAGTCATTACAAAATGATTAGAGAAATGCACTGCAATCACAATAACCCAACAGAGCCACTCGGGAGATGTAGGGCACAGAGGGGAGAAGAGTGTGGAAATTACCCTCTGCTCTGCCTTCCTAGCAGGTAGGGTTCAGATCATAAGTACACACACCGCCACATGTCTTCCTCCCCTCTAGGGGAACAGACGGTCACTGCCCAACGGAGCCTTCAACCACTCGGGACTGCCTTCCTCACCTACTGTCTTCTCTGATCCTCCCACCATCAGAAGCTACCTGTCTTCCCGCCTACTATTTCAGGACCTTGCTCTCTGGTTTCTAAGGTGACACTTAAAAGGAAATAAAACAAACAGTTGTTGCCGTAGGGTTTATTCCAACTCCGGACAACTCAGAGTAGAAGTGTGCTACATTGGGTTTACAACAGCTCATTTTTTTTAGCTTATTGTTACGTGTCATCAAGTTAGTTGACCTCTGAAGTCAGTGGTCAGAATGCCACTCCCCTCTTGTCCCAGTCATCAGCAGGCCAGAAGGGGTTTGTAGGTAGAGCTGCCAATCTGTAGATGGAGTCCTGGTGTGGCGCTGTGGGGTTAATGCACCAGACTTCAAAGCAGTTTGAATTGCAAGGTCGGCAGTTCAAGCTCACCAGCTGCTCCTCAGAAGCCCTATATAGGGTCGCTATGGGTTGGGATCAACTAGACGGCACTTAACAGCAACAACATCTGTATTGCAAACATGTCACTTAAACATTAGGATCTCATGGCTTGCAGTGTGGGTGCTTCTTTCCTCAAAAACAGTTCTAGTAGGATTGCCAAGGAGTGAGGGACTTTTGGGACAGGAAAGAGGATGTGTATTCTTAGGTAAACACATTGTACTACCCATTTACTATTCCTTATTATAACGAATCGTTCTCCTAAGAGCAACTGTCTGGAAAATCTAGCCTTGAGGAGATGGAAATCAGGAAGGTTCTTTACCGGTTAATCCCTCAAATTGACAGTTACCCAGGTAAGGTCCCAGGGGCATCAAGAACCAGAACTTAAAGGGAAGTTTCAGTGGCTCCAAGTTAGTGTGTAGAACAGTCATCAGCTTACTCTGTGACCACACACTTTAGTCAGTAAGGATTCATCCAACAGAGAGTAAGGCCTATTCCTGGCGCTCAGACATTTACAGTTGAGGAGGCTTGGAGACAGGTAGTTTAAATAGTATGTGGCAAATTCGGATTCCCTAGTACCAGAGGGAGGAAGTATTTTCGTGTGAAAATTACTTTTTGAGAGAACAACAGACATTTATAGGAGAATATAAAGAAGACAACATAGCAGCTATCTGCACACCACCCAAAGAAACTATTGCTCCGATTGTGCTTATTCCCATGGTTTCCTAGGTTGTTGTTGACATAGTAGTGATCTTTTTATGTTTAAGATATTATTGTCTTCATTATATTTCACTCAGTGTTATAATAGAATGTAGGGGAATGCTGATAGCGTAGTGGTTACAAGTCGGGCTGTGAACCTCAAAGTCAGCCATTCAAAACTACCAGCTGTTCCACAGGAGAAAGATGAGACTTTCTGCTCCTGTAAAGATTTACAGCTTCGGAAATCCAATGCAGGGCTGCTATGAGTCGGAACCGATCCACGGCGCACTACCACACTGTATTATTACTATTAATTCTCCCTGTTCTCAAAAGAGAAGGCCAGAGTTTAGTCAGTGGCCGCAGCAATGCACTGAAGTAGAACAATTGTCAAGATGGCGGGGGTGAGGTCCCTATGAATCAGAGCCAACTTGATGGGACCTAACAACAACTTTATTTAAAATACTAAAGCCAACACAGATTGTTCATTTTTTACCTTATTTCATCTGCATATTTGAGTAGATTGTTGTTGACTGCTGTTGAGTTGGTTCTGACTCATAGTGACCCAGTATAGGGTTTCCAAGGAGTGACTGGTGAGTTTGAACCACCGACTTTGCGGTTCAAACCAACCTTGAGATCCTGCACTTATCCTACAGCACCACTCCAGGACTCCATGGAGGTATGATATATATGTACGTATGATTGAGTGCATATGAGGGTAAGTCAGAAAGTATTGTTACTAGGGATCAGTTCATACACGCATAGGCTTATTCCAAACAAAACGAGTTTAAATAGCAAGCAGTAGATGGCCACAGACAAGTTCTTTCAATAATATACTTGTTTCAGTCTCACTCGGATGCTTTCCAAAACAAAGATTCAATCGAAACAGTGGCTTCTGAGGGGATTGGCTAGGGCAGTTAAATTTAAGGCAGAGTTCAGCTCAGAAGGTTATGAAAACTGTTTTTTGAGATTCCAAAAGGATATTCATAATAGATTTGCTTAAAGGACACAGGAGGAAGATCATGGCGATTTATTATAAAGAAACGATAAGAAAATGAAAAACTGTTGGTGAGAAAGATGGTTAGGAAAGTTGTGCTGA